CGGTGTGGCCCACCATGGGGCTCCTGGTCGGTCCCACCATGGGAGTCCCTGATCAGTCCCACCATGGGGTCCCTGATATGTGCCACCATGGGGCTCCTGGTCGGTCCCACCATGGAGTCCCTGCTCAGTCCCACCATGGAGTCCCTGCTCAGTCCCACCATGGGGGTTCCGGTCGGTCCCACCGTGGAGTCCCTGCTCAGTCCCACCATGGGGCTCCTGGTCGGTCCCACCATGGAGTCCCTGCTCAGTCCCACCGTGGGGTTCCTGGTTGGTCCCACCATGGGGTCCCTAGTCAGTCCCACCATGGGGCCCCTGGTCAGTCCCACCATGGGGGTCCTGGTCAGTCCCACCATGAGGACCCCGGTCGGTCCCACCATGGGGTCCCTGATCTGTCCCACCATGGGGGTCCCGGTTGGTGCCACCATGGGGCTCCTGGTCGGTCCCACCATGGAGTCCCTGCTCAGTCCCACCGTGGGGTTCCTGGTTGGTCCCACCATGGGGTCCCTAGTCAGTCCCACCATGGGGCCCCTGGTCAGTCCCACCATGGGGGTCCTGGTCAGTGCCACCATGAGGAACCCGGTTGGTCCCACCATGGGGTCCCTGATCTGTCCCACCATGGGGATCCTGGTCGGTCTCACCATGGGGTCCCTGGTCAGTCCCACTGTGGGGATCCCGGTCGGTCCCACCATGTGGCCCCTGATCTGTCCCACCATGGGGATCCCAGTCGGTCCCACCATGGGGCCCCTGGTCAGTCCCACCATGGGGGTCCTGGTCAGTGCCACCATGAGGAACCCGGTTGGTCCCACCATGGGGTCCCTGATCTGTCCCACCATGGGGCTCCCGGTTGGTCCCACCATGGGGCTCCTGGTCAGTCCCACCATGGGGGTCCTGGTCAGTGCCACCATGAGGAACCCGGTTGGTCCCACCATGGGGTCCCTGATCTGTCCCACCATGGGGCTCCCGGTTGGTCCCACCATGGGGCTCCTGGTCAGTCCCACCATGGGGGTCCTGGTCAGTCCCACCATGAGGACCCCGGTTGGTCCCACCATGGGGTCCCTGATCTGTCCCACCATGGGGCTCCTGGTCGGTCTCACCATGGGGTCCCTGGTCAGTCCCACTGTGGGGATCCCGGTCGGTCCCACCATGTGGCCCCTGATCTGTCCCACCATGGGGATCCCAGTCGGTCCCACCATGGGGCCCCTGGTCAGTCCCACCATGGGGGTCCTGGTCAGTGCCACCATGGAGTCCCTGCTCAGTCCCACCATGGGGCTCCTGGTTGGTCCCACCATGGGGTCCCTGCTTGGTCCCACCATGGATCTCCTGGTCAGTCCCACCATGGGGTCCCTGGTCAATCCCACCATGGGGGTCCCGGTTGGTCCCACCATGGGGAACCCGGTCGGTCCCACCATGGGGTCCCTGATCTGTCCCACCATGGGGATCCTGGTCAGTCCCACCATGGGGTCCCTGGTCAGTCCCACCATGGGGATCCCGCTCGGTCCCACCATGGGGCTCCTGGTCAGTCCCACCACAGAGGCCCTGCTTGGTCGCTCATCATCATCAAAGTGCTCTCTCAGCATCTCTAATTAGACGTTCCAAGCCCTGATACCAAATCCATCCATGTTATCACCCAGCTGCTGATTAGGATGCCGTAGTCCTTCGCCCCACGCTGTGGTCGGTCCATTGGCTCAGACCTCAGCATCTTGGTGCGCCCGAGCTCCAGCTCACGTCCTGCTCGCATTGGGAGGGTCGAGCCTTGCTTCCCTGGACGTACAAATCAGGCAGAAGCTCCCACTGAGTGTGCTTTAATCTCCTTCCCTAGGATTTAAGACCTGTGTCCTCACCAACAACTGGGTGGACGACAGCGCCGGGCGGCTCTTCACGGCCACGTTGATGAACCTGCTGCGTCGCCACTTTGACCTGGTGATCGAGTCCTGCCGGCTCGGAGCACAGAAGCCAGATCCCGAGATCTACACTTACGCCTTGGACGCGCTGCAGGCGAAACCGCAGGAGGTACGGCCACCACCCCCAAAACAGGGCATGGGGGGTCCTTCCAACCACCCAAATTCCTTGGCCCAACCCAGCGGTCGCCCTTCCCTGGGGTGCTGAGCCTGGCTCTCGCTGATGTATCTCCAGGTCATCTTCCTGGATGACATCGGGGAGAACTTGAAGCCGGCTCGGGAGATGGGCATGGCCACCATCCTCGTCAGGGACACCGAAACCGTCCTCAAGGAGCTGGAGGAGCTCTCGGGTGTCCAGGTATGTAGAGGTGGTCTGGGTCCTCTGCTCTCCTGGAGATCCCTGGAGAGCTGGGAGGGATGGGCTCGGGCTTCTGGGTCTTGCCGTGTTGCGGTGGTGGTGCAGGACTTGTGGTTGGCTTTGGAAATGAACGGGATGGGGGCCATGATCTCCTGCAAACCCTCCCCTGGACCTCCCAAGCCACGTCCATCTCAAACGCATGGGTGGTGGGGACGTCCCACGGAGCTCCAGGCTTGCTCAGGAGCTCACTCCCTGCTCCTCACCCCGCAGCTTCTCGGCCAAGAAGAGCCACTGCCAACCGCGTGTGATCCATCCGATGTGACCCACGGATACGTCCCCATCCGGGTAGGGCGAAGGGGGCTGCCTCGGTGGCAAGGTGTCCCCGGGCTTAGCAGGGCTTGGGGGGGGCTGGGGGTCCTGGGGAGGGTGTTGAACCCCATGGAAGGATCTGCCAGCCGAGGGGTGGCTCGTTGGGTTGTCTACCCTCCTGCGTGGGCTGCTCAGCTGCTCCGTCGTTGAGGTCTTCTCCATCCACCCCAAGGGCCAAAGAGTCCTCGCGCGGCTGGAGGGGTTGGTGGGCTCCCACGCGTGGTGGCCAGCGGTGGGTGGGGGCTTGGGGGTGAAGCCGAGCCGGTGAGGGCTCCTCGTCCCTTCCAGCCCGGCGTCCAGCTGCACTTCGTGGAGATGGGACATGGCCCCGTCATCTGCCTCTGCCACGGCTTCCCCGAGTCCTGGCTCTCCTGGCGCTACCAGGTGATGGAGGAGGGTGGACCACGGGGGGCCGGCGGTGGGATGCTGGAGCCGGGTGAAGGGGATGCATGGCCATACTCTTGGGGGGGTCCCAAGGCTGTCCCACCACCCTTCTGTGAACCTTGAGGACAGCTCAGGAGTGTTCCCCACCCACACCAGCCCGCATGTGTCCTCCTGGGGACATCTCCGGGCACGGCCGGCAGACGTTGGGGTGGGCAGACGCAGGATGGGCGCTGGTGCCGTCGCGGAGCAGGGTCCCGGGGGGTCTCCGCGTCCTTTGGAGACCACTCATTTCCCTCCTAGATCCCAGCCTTGGCTGATGCTGGCTTCAGGGTGATCGCTCTGGAGATGAAGGGCTACGGGGAGTCCACGGCCCCGCCGGGTGAGCTGGGCTCGCCGGGGCATCAGGGGGACTTGGGGGGGGCATTCGGGGCTGGAGCTGGCGGTCCAGAGGCCAAGACCCTGGAGGAGGTGGGTGGAGGAGTCTTCTCCTTGGGAAGGGGGTGGTGGAAGCCATCCTGCTCCTCACGTGGGTGTGGAATATGTCCCTGAAAACGCGTGGGTGTTAAAATGAAGGTGGTTGTGTCTTCCATGCAGACATCAAAGAATATTCCCAGGAGCAGATATGCAAGGTGAGGAGCGGGAGGGCATGGGTGCTGGCAGGAGGAGGGTGGTAGGGCATGGTCCCGGGCAGGATCTGACCCCTGCTCTCCTCCCTTCTCCAGGACCTGGCGGTTTTCCTGGACAAACTGGTGAGGAGCCCCCCACGATGGGTCCCTCCTTCTTGGCAAGGTTTGGGTGCTCGTCTCCCCGGCTGCCCTGCGCCTCTCCCTTCCTGTGCCAGGACGTCCAAGCTCCCCAGTGACGCTGGTGGCCCCAGCCCTGTCTTTGCGTTCTCCATGGGTGGGATTTTAGGGGTGGGGATGTTCATACAACCCATTGCCGGTGAGGAGAACCCATCCTTGAGAGGGTCTCCAGCTCTGCGTCACAGAATGGTGGGGGCTGGAAGGGACCTCTGTGGGTCACCCAGCCCAACCCCCTGCCCAAGCAGGGTCACCCAGAGCAGGGGGCACAGCACCGCGGCCAGGCGGGGCTGGAATATCTCCAGAGAAGGAGACTCCACAGCC